GGTTCCATGATATGAGACGCATGCAGGTTGCCAGTGTGTGACAAAGAAGCCCGAGCATCAGAGTGTTGGGCATACTCGTCCCCGCTCTGGGAACCGCAAAGCTCTCGAGCCGGAGCTATATGTGAAGATATATATATATATATATATATATATCAGAGTGAGGGGGCCGAACGGTCATTCACTGTCCCTGGGTGCGTGGCTGAAGTGGGATTCCGCGGTGCGGATTCGTGTTGTTGTTGTTGTTGTTGTTGTTGTTGTTGTTGTTGTTGTTGTTGTTGTTGTTGTTGTTGTTTGTTGTTGTTGTTTGTTGTCGTCGTCCCACCCGCCACCCGCCCCGCGAACCACCAGCGACCCACCCCGCGACCCACCCGCGACCCACCCGCGACCCACCCGCGACCCACCCGCGACCCACCCCGCGACCCACCCCGCGACCCATCCCGCGACCCACCCCGCGACCCACCCGCGACCCACCCGCGACCCACCCGCGACCCACCCCACGACCCACCCCGCGACCCACCGGCGACCCACCCGCGACCCACCCGCGACCCACCCCGCGACTCACCCGCGACCCACCCGCGACCCACCCGCGACCCACCCGCGACCCACCCGCGACCCACCCCGCGACCCACCCGCGACCCACCCGCGACCCAAACCACGTTCAAGGTACAAACCAACATTTTCGGCGCCTGCGGCGGGCTTTTTTTGTATTCCTTCCAGGTGGAGAGCCCGCGACCCACCCTGCGACCAACTCGCGACCAACCCGCGACCCAAACCACGTTCAGGGTACAAACCACATTTTTCGGCGCCTGCGGCGGGCATCTTTTGCATTCGTTCTAGGTGGAGAGACCGCAGCCCACCCGCGACCACGTTCAGGGTACAAACCAAATTTTTCGGCGCCTGCGGCGGGCATCTTTTGCATTCGTTCCTGGTGGAGAACCCGCGGTCCACTAGCGACCCAAACCACGTTCAGTGTACAACTCAATTTTTTCGGCGCCTTCGGCGGGCTGCTTTTGCAGGAGGACGAGGAGGAGGAAGAGGAGGAGGAGAAGGAGGAGGGGGAGGAAGGGGACGACGACGACGACGACGACGACGTCGACGACGACGACAAAAAGGAGGAGGGGGGAGGATCGGGAGGGGGGGAAAAGGAGGAGGACGACGAGGAGGAACATGACGACAATGGGAGGACGATGGTGGAAGGACGAGGGGGGGAGAGGGAGGACGAGGAAGAAGAGGAGGAGGAGGAGGACGAGGTGGAGGAGGAGGACGACGATGACGATGAGGACGAGGACGAGGACGAGTAGGAGGAGGAGGAGGAGGAGGAGGAGGCGGAGGAGGAGGAGGAGGAGGAGGAGGAGGGGAAAAGGAGAGCGCCATCGGCAGGGAAGGTGGGGGCCACGAGGTCCGCCGGCTTGACAACGCCCGCGTCGCCCGCGCCCGCCCCCTCACTCTTATCCGCAATTGCGGGGTGCTATATATATACAGGGAGGGAGAGAGAGAGAGAGAGAGAACAAAAAGAGAGAGAGGTCGGGTGCCCTGGGAGCAATGCACCGTGCCAGGGTGGCAGTCGCGCCCCAGGGCGTGGCCTTCATGAGGAGATGCGGGGGCCGAAGGGGACCCTTGCCGGGCTCGGCGCCCAGGGATGTCGAAGCGATGCTCATCTCGAGCGGTCTCTATGGCTTTCGAGAGAACTGGATCAAGGCGAAGGGCGAGCAATACCAGGCCACTGCAGCGGCTGGACCCAGGAGCGGTGTATGCGCCATTCCGGCCACGCCGGGAGGGCGTGGCGTATGCACCGCTGCTGGGTTCGGGCTGGGCCTGGCCGGGGAGGAGGAGGAGGAGGAGGAGGAGGAGGAGGAGGAGGAAGAGGAGGAGGAAGAAGGAGGAGGAGGAGGAGGAGGAGGAGGAGGAGGAGGAGGAGGAGGAGGAGGAGGAAGGAAAAGGGGGGAAGAGGAGGAGAGAGGAGGAGGATGAGGAGGAGGAGGAGGAGGAGGAGGAGGAGGGCGTGGCGCATGCACCGCTGCTGGGGTCGGGCTGGGGCCTGGCCAGGGAGCCGTGGACGTGTACAGATTGCTGCGCCCTGTTTTAGCTGCCTGGGAGACCCGCGCGCAGAGCGCAGGCCCCCCGTGTCCTCGGGCCACTTGCTTCGGGGATCGACTACAGAAGTAATCTACCCCCAATTTTTTTCCCAACCATCCTGTGGTGTTGGGTCCTCGTTTTGAAGAAACGGTCCCCGCGTCCTCCTGTCCTCTCCTGTCCTCTCCTCTCCTCTCCTCTCCTCCTCCTCCTCCTCTCCTCCTCCCCCTCTTCCCTGCGTTTCACCCACCCAGTACAGCGCTTCGTAGCCCCATAGGAGCTCCGCCGAAGGCCCCAGTGCTGCCGCCCGCATGCGTCACGCACACCCAATTCGGCACACCCCTCACACGCTTCGTGGCCCCATAGGGAGCTCCGCCGAAGGCCCCAGTGCTGCCGACCGCATGCGTCACGCACACCCAATTCGGCACACCCCTCACACGTTTTGTGGCCCCATAGGGGGCTCCGCCGAAGGCCCCAGTGCTGCCCGCCCGCAATTGCGGGTCCCACACCAATTCGGCACACCCCTCAC